GCTGGATTAACCTACCGTATGGCTTTGCTAGGGAAGAACAATGATCCTAATGGCCAGTACATGTGCAGAGTGCCACAAAACAGCTCCAGTGCTCAAGCCCCAGACAGACTTTCTGAAAACCTTCTTTGTCTAAGTTCATAGGTCCAGGCTATAAACTCTGGTGAGAGCCCCAGCCATGCCACTTAACACTCAATCACTGTGGCATCTCAGCAGCATGTCTCGGTTTCCAGACGGTGATGCTGGGCACTGATGAGAGTCAGAGCTGTTGGTTTCAGGTTTCTCAGCTGTGTTATCTAAGGACCGGCTGCTTGGGATTTGATCAGGGCTGGTTTGGGAGAGAGGCAGACGCCGTCTTTTCCCCAGAACAGACTACCCTTTGAGCTCTGCCGCCACCCGGACTGGGGATGGAAGAGAGAAAACAAAAATCCTCACTGTATGTGGTTCTCCGGAATTTAACTTGGCTCTGGAAAGGGGAAGTTGAAGAGCAACATTGCTCATCCACTCTCAACGCCCTCTGCAGGTGGCAAGCCCCGTGAACGCTGAGGCTTGTCAGGAGCGGGAAGGGGTTAGAGTGAGGACAAGGATTTCTGCCCCTCTTGGTGGTGGGGGAAGCTCCCACCTCCTTCTATGGTCAACACTAAGATGTTGAGGAGGGGAGTCTGATTTAAAGTCAGTTTACAAGAACCAGCCCCTTCACGAAGATGGCACCGAAGGCGAAGGAGGAAGCCCCTGCCCCTCCCAAAGCCAAAGCCAAAGCCAGGCCACGATAGGGGTGCCAAAAGGTGTCCATAGTCACAGAAAAAAGATCTGCACGTCACTTGCTTTTGATGGCCCAGGACACTGCGTCTCTGAATGCAGCCCAAATATCCAAATTGAAAGAGCACCCCCAGGAGAAGCGAGCTTGACCACTATGCCATCATCAAATTCTCCCTGACCCATCGACTGAGTCAGCCATGAAGAAAATAGAAGACAACAGCACATTTGTGTTCATTGCGGATGTCAAGGCCAACAAGCACCAGATCAAACAGGCTGGGAAGAAGCTCTATGACATTGTCATGGCCAAGGTCAACACCCTGATCAGGCCCAATAGAGAGAAGAAGGCGTATGTTCGATTTAACTGGCTCCTGACTATGATGCTTTGGATGTTGCCAACAAAACTGGGATCATCTAAACTGAGTCCAGCTGGCTAAATCTAAATATAAATTTTTCACCATAAAAAAATAATAAAGTCAGTTTCCAAGAACCAATTGAAACAGAACATTCTCATTGGGCTAAGCTATGAAGAGAAGAGATAAACGCAGTCTAGTGATTTGGGACAAGGACAGCGCAACTAGTCACGTGTTGAGGTTTTTTGTTTTGTTTTCCCGGCCCTTCATACATTCACCACATTCACACTGTGTGTGTATGGTGGTAGTGGAGGGTGGTCAGGGTGGGTGTTGGGTATAAGGAGGCACTTTTGGAAAATGTGAAGTGCTGAGTCTTCCTAAACTTTTATATTCCCTAGAGCTTCTAAAAAAATTCTTCTGCCTTGACAAAGATTCTGCTCTTCAACCTGACATCATCTTACCCTCAAAAGTGGGCCGTCAGTGCTGGTCAGCGAGAGATCTGCATAGAAAAACCTTGCATTCCATCATCCTAGATCTTTTTAGGGGACATTTCATGCTCTCAGTTTTCCTTCAGATTGTTAGAAAGTGAACTCGGGGACTTTAAATCAGTCTCTGATTTATTTTTCTCACCTGGGTTCAGTCACTCTTTGCTATACATTTTCCCAACCCAGTGCTACCTTGGCTTACTACGTGGAAAATTTTGCTTTCAGCTACGTTTTCCATACTGTTCTCGGGGTGCCTGGCTGGCTCAGTGGGTAGAGCATGCAACTCTTGATGTCGGGATTGTGAGTTCAAGCTCCATGTTGGGTGTAGAGATACTTTAAAAAATAAATAAATAAAATAAAAAGATAGTAAGTTTCTCAAAAAAAAAATTCCACACTGTTCTCAAGGAAGATTACTACTGCTTTTTGAGACCTCCAGGAAAGAAATCCCACAACATTCTCATCATTATTTGTTGGCATGATGGAAAAGCATGAGATCACCTAGGGAGGATCATGTGGGTGACAGAGTCCTGGGATAAGCAGAAGAGAGTCACACAAGGAGTGAGCAAACCCAGCAGACAGAGGAATCAGGACAGAGGTCTACAAAGCAGGGAGAACAGGTGAGGACAGGGTGGCACCCTGAGATGCCAGTGCTCAGGAGGTGAAGCTGGGAGGCCAGGTGTGACACACAAGGAGAGGGGGCAGGATGAATTCAAGAGGGTTATGGTCAGACTGAGTAGAGGCAAAATACAGAATCCCAAAGATGTTATAGAGGATTTGAGCAGAGAACATACAGAGAAAGAAGAGTTTTATAAGGTCGTTTTTTGGGGGAAGGAACTCATTGCTGACACAAAACAAGAAAGAGAACATAGCTTTTGGCACATAGAGAACATAACTATTTTCTGCAGAAGCTTATCAGGTGCTGGCCTGGTGTAGAGTGATACAAGAGCTGTAGGGCTGGAGTGGAGAATCACTCTAGTTTAAGTAAAAGAACTCCAGACAGACCAGTTTAATCTTATTAACCTGATTATGGAGCTTGGGGCCAAATGAAATCTTATAGAAATCTGCATGACAATACTATGGTACTACATTACTCAGATTTTAGATCCCTCTATTTAATGTTTCATTATCCCTTTCTAAACATCAAGGCAAAGAACAGTCAACAATAACAATATCAAGATTGTATGAATTTAAAATTAGCACTGATATGGTTAAATACTAAGATGCTTAGTGGGTAGGACAGTTGTAAGCCAAAAGGGGGGAAAAAGTCACAAAACCAACACAAGGCCCATCAGAAACACTGTGGTCCTGTTTGGAGTTTGTTGGGATGCAAAAACTGTAGACTAGCCATGTCAAAATGGAGTGCTGGGGGAAACTGGACAAAAAGGATCACTCTGTATGATTTCTTATAACCACATGTGAATCTGCAACTATCTAAGAAGATAGATTGACATAGGTATCAATAGATAGAGGTAAATGAGCTAACTTTTCAAGCATAGGATTTTATAATAAATATTTAACTAGAACAAATATCTATTTAGCACACCAACTTGACTCTATTATAATAACCTAAATTCCAATATTTAATTGGGCCTATTTCTCCACTTCATATTCTGTGCCATTGGTTGGTCTGTTCATGTGTCAATATAACACATTTAATTAAAAAAAAAAAAAAAAAGGCATGGCTGGCTCAGTTTTCAAAAAGAAGCCACGCAGTCCAAGAAGCAAAGAGGAAGAGATATCAAAAAGATCTGCAAACAAAAGCAGTAATCGCTGCCATTTGACGGGCAAACTCCCAGAAAGCTGCTATGGCAAAGGGCAGTGGGTTTCTTAGTAACAGCTTACTCCATACACTTATGTTCCACTTAAGATGTGAATATTATCATCTGGTAGTTCAGAAATAAATTACGTCATTTCCAAACTGAGAACTACCCCGTACAGGATAACATGGGTAGATTGTGATGCCACCTTAGACAACGAAGTAATCAAGAAAGTGCTCCAGAAGTCCAGGTTGTGTTCACACTTGCTTTTTGTAGGACTAACTAGAAACTAAGCTACCAGTCAGTCTAGGAGTGGACTACTTCACAGCTTAGAGCCATAAAGCAATGTAGAGGCTTAAACAAAACAAAACAAAACAAAACAAAACAAAAAACAAACCTTTTGGAGGCTGGTTCAGTTGGTAGAACATGTGACTTTTTTTTTTTTTTTTAAGATTTTATTGATTTATTTAAGAGAGAGAGAGAAAGCAAAAGCAGGAGGAGTGGCAGAGGGAGAAGCAGACACCCCGCTGAGCAGGGAGCCCAATGCGGGGCTCGATCCCAGGACCCTGGGATCATGACCTGAGCCAAAGGCAGACGCTTAACGACTGAGCCACCCAGGTGCCCCCCTCTATATCCTTTCTTAAGCAAATTGCTGTGCATCTGGGGCAAAATAATTGCATATGTCCCTGGACAGCCTCTGGAAAGTCAGGGGATCTTAGCTTAGTATATATAGCATCATTCTGATTCACCCAGGACAAAAGAAAGAACTCAGGTTTTCACATTTGTGTTAAAGGAAAATGGTGATTGAACTGCCAGTAGGAGATGCTTTTTTTTTTTTTTTAAGCCTATGATAACAGATCACGTTTTTTTTTTTCACTAATAAATCCAACCAAAAATTCCCAGAGGTATCAGTCTTGGGCTTCAGAGGGACAAATAAAATGGATGGTTCTTCCTTTTGTTCCAACACTTAAGGAATTGACGTTTTATTACAGTTGCTGTTTTGATGCTAGGCATCAAACAAAAAGGTTATTAAATCATAAAATTTCAGAGTAAAACTTTAATACTTGTACAAAACTGCACAGACCATGGAACAAGTAAGTCAACCAAGTCATTAACAAAGTTATAAATGTGGTTTTTAGCAAGAAATTACAGGAAACTAGAATCTTTTCCCAATTACATTTTTATTGAAAAATAGTTGATTTAAAATATATACATTGTTTTTTTAAAAGCATGTTATTGGTAAAATAATGATCTTTCATATGAGGATCACTGAAGTTTCACTCACTCTTACCAAAGTGGCACCTTTATTTTCCTAGATGAACATTTTGCTTAAAAATAGGGTCTCTTAAAAAAAAGAAATGAAAAAAGAAAGAAAAAAAAAAGACTAGGGTCTCTAGTGCCCTCTGGTGAAGCTTCCTGAGACTGGGTATCCAAAAAAGTAATTCAGCTCATGACGGAAGAAAGTTAAATAACAGAATTACTACCTGTTCACATGTGACAAATTGTGATTTGCTGCCTTGGGCAACCTCAGAGGATGTCCTGATCTCAGGCAGAGTTCAACTACTGACACTCAGTCAATATTTTCTTCCGGAATTTTCATCATCACTGCCTTCTTAAAAAAACAAAAACTGTCATTATATTATAAATGGGAGAAATAATGTGGGAAAGTCTCTAAGTAATTCAGGCTATAATCCAGACCAAAAACACAAAAAAGGTTAACAGGACAGCAAAAATGATAGCTAAAGCTTAGCATGCAAGAAGGGCTCTTTTAGTGGTCCCTAATTCTTAGCCCTGTCTTCTTAATAACAGATATCATGATTCTAGCCAACTCTGTGCATAGTTTCTGGGAGAAGAGGACCTTTTCCTCAGATTTCAGGAAGCAGACCTATTCCAGATGAGGGCCATGTCTAAACGTAAACATCAACAGAGTCTAAGTTCATTCTCCAGACCAAAGACTTTGGACTTAAGGTTCTTTAGTTCTCCTTGTAGCTTATGTGCCCGTCTATTGCTGTCACGCACCTCACACAGAATGGCAAGGTCCTGGTTTGCCCGGGCATTAAGTGTTGCCTAGAGATTTGGAAAAAAAAAAAAAAAAAAAAGAAGAAGAAATGATTATGGCACATGCCAGGGAAAAGAAATCATAAAGACTAGGCTATGCTGGCTCCTTTTGGGGAGACTTTTAGCACATAAGATAAATTCAATCCTTAGCTTGCTTAATGACTGACTAAAAGAAAGAAAATGTAGAGTAGAATTAAAGCAGAAAAGGCATGGGACTCTGCTCTCCTATACGATAGTAAAGAAGCCATAGGATAGAAATCAATAGACAACAATGAGTAAAAAAAAGAGATCTATATAAACATTACTGGTAGATTTACCAAAGAATGAAAAAAAAGCGTCTCTTCTATAACTAACCTTGTTGGGCACATAGCAATCATTTAGGATATGTGGATGACTGGTTAAATCTCTTTAAGAAGGATTCTGAGGCAACCTGAATTCTAAATAAAGCTGTGTTTGACAGGGAGAAATTACTTCATTACTTACTCACTCACTCTCCCCATTGGTAAAACAGACACAGTTCTTTTCATCTACTTCTTGATCTGGGAAGGATGAAGCTTTCTGATAAGTTTAACTCAGATCAAAGTACGATGGTGCAGGCTAGCAATGATTTCAGTCTACTGTGTCCTCCCTCTGGTGTGTACTTAAGCTAATTTTAATGAGACTTAAAGGATGGTGATCCGCTAGGGTCTACCATCAGGGAAACAGCCCATCTTTCTTCTGAGGAGCCCTCACGACCATGTTTCCTTACCTGCACCCCTTTTCCCCCCTCGGTAATTCAGAGTCAGCAATTACCTTATAGAGGATTTGCTCCAAGTCTTTCAGCTTCTGCCGGAGAATCTTAATATCCGTCTTAAAGCCTTCTACTTCCAAGATACGCCGATTCTCCAAGGCTTCATAGCGTCTTGTCATCACCTGTAAACGCTTCCCCATCTTGTTAGTACGATCCTAAATATAGGGACATGGCAAGGCATTTGTGAAGATGAGGGAAGCATTCCCGGAGCATCTGCGCTTCCCACTCAGTCAGAAGTGGAAGAGAATTTTGTACCTTGAAGATCTCTCTCCTCACTCCCTCTTCCTCACGAATTCGGGCAAGTTCCTCTTCTAGGGAAATGCACTGCTCTTGATACATGTTGGATAATTTTTTCTCTTGTATTAACTTATCCTTTAGGGACTGCAGGTCAGAAGGAAAATAAAATTACAATTTTGGTAATTCAAGTAGCACTTAGGCAACGAAAGAAAGGAAATAAATGATTTCCATTAAGTCTAAAACGAGTTAAGGAACAAGATGGCAAGGAACTTTGGAGAACATCTGAAAGCCTCCTATTTCTAGATGATTCTCTTAACCTTTTTCTAAAGTGTCCATACTAGAAATTCTTTAAAATAAAACAAATACTTTTGGCTCTGAGAAGGGTCAGATAATGGAGCTCAGAACTGTACCAAATAGGACATGACAATATATGTTTTGGGACACATTTCTGAAGCTCTTCTTTAAAATAGAAACAAGAGGGGCGCCTGAGTGGCTCAGTCGGTTAAGCGGCTGCCTTCAGCTTGGGTCATGATCCCAGGGTCCTGGGATCGAGCCCCACATCAGGCTCCCTGCTCGGTGGAGAGCCTGCTTCTCCTTCTCCCTCTGTCTGCCGCTCTGCCTACTTGTGCTCTCTCTCTATTTCTGTTAAATAAACAAATAAATAAAAATCTTTAAATAGAAACAAGAACATATAATACACATGTTCCATTGAGCAGCGGGAATGATCGGTAAAAACCTTAATCAGATCACGTTTCTTCCTTACACACAATCCTTCAAAGACATACAATGTTTAGAGCTAAATATTCTTACCAGGAAAGTAAAGGCCCTGTAAGGCCCTCCATGACTGGCTGCTGCCCACCCTCCAACCTCTTTGCTTACCACTTCCTTCTTGCTTATTCCTCTGTGACCACACTGATATTCCCTCTCTTCCCTGAACATTTTTTTTTAAAGATTTTATTTATTTATTTGAGAGAGAGAGAATGAGAGAGAGAGAGCATGAGGGGGGGAGGGTCAGAGGGAGAAGCAGACTCCCCGCCGAGCAGGGAGCCCGATGTGGGACTCGATCCCAGGACTCCAGGATCATGACCCAAGCCGAAGGCAGTCGCTTAACCAACTGGGCCACCCAGGCGCCCTCTTCCCTGAACATATTTTAGACTTGCTTTTCCCTCTGCCTGGAATGCTCTTCCCCTAGGTCTTTATGACAAGCTCAGTACCATTTTATAGGTCTCAGCAACAATATTAGACTTTACAGAGGGTCCCTGTGCTTCCCTACAAAAGCAGACTTTCAGCAACTATATATAATCTTCATGTAATCTTTTTAATTTCTTAATACCACTTTTTAATAAGCTATCATTTTCTGTTTTGTTTCTGTACCTTCTCACCCATTAAAGTTTCTATTTATGTATTTATTTATTTATTTAAATAATCTCTACACCCCATGTGGGGCTTGAACTCATGATACTGAGACAAAGAGGCGCATGCTCTCGCCACTGAGCCAGCGAGGTGTGCCCCCCCCATTTTCACCCATTAAAATGTAAATGCCATGAAGGCAGACCTGGTCTAATTTATCTACTGCTATAGCCCCGGAGCCTAGCCCATAGTAGGAGTGCAATAAGTATTTGCTGAAAGAATAAATGAATCAATCAATAGTTTACTTTTCTAAATCCCCAAACACTATAATGGTAAGCTACTCTTTGAAACCTATCTCTTGAGGGTGCTGCTACAACAGCTTCCTGGGCTGAATGGATCTTGTATGACAATTCTTAGGTTCTCTGGAATTCTCTGAGTTCTTTTTCAACTTTTCTAGAGAAATTAACAATTTCTGTAAGACATAAGAAAACTACCTTAATATATTGATTTTGGTTATGATGAGTCTCATGAATGACTGGCCAAACTTTTCCAATTTTATCTTCTTTCTTCTTACGCTGCATGCTGTATTGCTTAATCTTTGACATCAAATGATCCTTTTCAAGCATCCATGACTTCTCTTTATTTTGGTTTTCAAATCTGAGTTGCAAAAAGTCTTTCGTGCTCTCATAGAGAAGTTCTTGGGTATGATGGAGACTATGAAAGAAAGTACAAATGTGGACACCAAGATGCTTACTGGTACATATGATGCATAGTTACTCAAACAAAGGGAAGATACAGGTTCTTTAAAAATGGTGCAATATAGGGCGCCTGGGTGGCTCAGATGGTTAAGCGTCTGCCTTCGGCTCAGGTCATGATCCCAGGGTCCTGGGATCGAGTCCCGCATCGGGCTCCCTGCTCCACGGGAAGCCTGCTTCTCCCTCTGCCTCTCTCTCTCTCTCTCATGAATGAATAAATAAAATCTTAAAAAAAAAAAAAATGGTGCAATATATAAATTCTATAAAATATCATTAGCAGTATTTAAAACACAATCTGATCACTGGCAAACTTACATATTTTACTGGACAAAGTGTAATATACCTACCCATGTGCACTAGTTCACAGACTGGTCTTTTTATTTTTTTAAAAGATTTATTTATTGGGCACCTGGGGGGCTCAGTTGGTTAAGCCTCTGCCTTCAGCTCAGGTTATGATCCCAGGGTCCTGGGATCAAGTCCTGCATCGGGCTCCCTTGTCAGCGGAGAGTCTGCTTCTCCCTCTACTGCTACCCCCTACTCATGATCTCTCTCTCTCAAATAAAAAAATTAAATATTTTTTAAAAAGAGAGAGAACATGGGATGCCTGGGTGGCTCAGTTGGTTAAACATCTGCCTTCGGCTCGGGTCATGATCCCGGGGTCCTAGGACTGAGTCCCACATCTGGCTCCTTGCTCAGCAGGGCTCTCCCTCTGCCTGCTGCTTCCCCTGCTTGTGCTCTCTCTCTCTCTCTGTGACAAATAAATAAATAAAAATCTTAAAAAAAAAAAAAGAGAGAGAGAGAACATGCACGCATGCAATTGAGCATGAGGAGGGGCAGAGGGAGAGAAAGAATCTCCAGCAGACCCTCCACTGAGTGTGGAGAACAATGCAGGGCTTCATCTCACGACCCTGAGATCATGACCTGAGCTGAAATCAAGTTAACTTGCTTAACTGACAGTGCCACCCAGGTGCCCAAATAGACTGGTCTTTATAGATATTTTCCCAATGCTAATTCCAGGTTATATAATGAAAAGACATAGCCTGCATTAAGTATGGACTATTCCCTGACTGAGGGTGAACACAAGTTCTAAAATGTCAAAAATGGTTTTGATTTTCTTTATGCTGTGCTCCACATGTAAACTGCCTGATATCAAATCTTGTCCTTTTCTCAAGATCAGTTTCCTCCGTGGAGAGATCGTGACAACCTTAGCCCATTTCGTTTCTCCATTTTCTGAAATTCTTTATCAGTTTAAATCTCTACCCCTGTGTTATAATTTGACACTTGCTCATAAACTGTGTCATGTTTTATTTATTTATTTTTAAGATTTTATTTGAGAGAGTGAGCGAGAGAGAGAGAAAGCACAAGCAGGGGCAGGGAGAGGGAGAGGGAGAAGCAGACCTCCGACTGAGCAGGAAGCCTGACTCCGGGCCCGATCCTAGGACCCCAGGACCACAACCCAAGCCGAAGGCAGATGCCTAACCAACTGAGCCACCCAGGCGCCCCTGTCATGTTTTAACTGTCAAAGGCATAGTTTCCTTTTTTTTTTTTTTTTAAGATTTTATTTTTAAGTAATCTCTACCCCCTACGTGGGGCTCGAACTTACAACCCCAAGATCAAGAGTCACATGCCCTACTGATTGAGCCAACCAGGCACCCCAACATGCATATTTTTTAACCTGAGTGAAAGCATATCCCTTATTTATCGTTTACTTTTGCCCTGCTACCACCAGATTGTCAAGAACAGTTACCAACTACTAAACACACAGAGTACTGAACAGATTCCTGCTGACTACTGAGATTTAGGAATAGGCAAATGATGTTTCTATCTTCAAAAAAGGATATCCCTAGAAGTTAGCAACTCATCAGTTTAACATCAACACTTTCTAGAAAAATACTGTATCAAATGATCAAACTGCTTGCAAGGAATATTAAATACCATGAGGCAATCACTGTAATTTTCCACTGACTAAATAATGTCAGAAAAACTCAGTTCTTTCCATGAGTAACAGGATACATAGATAAGGGAAACATGATAGCATAATGCAGGCACAAAGCAGGGTAACTGTCACCGAACGAATGTATATACACTCAGGTATACATGTATGTGTATAAAGAGAGATTGATTCAGTTACCACAAGATCTCTCTTGCTTTCAGTGAGTTATTTTATTCTATTTTACATTATGTTCTCAATTACAAACTGGGCAAGTAATAGTCTTGTTAATGTATAAATGGTTTGAAAGTGAGACCCAAAGGACAGTCATTAAAGGCCTTGGATTTCATGCCATTCAATATCCTTAGGATGATCTATCTAATGTAAGGGACTGATTATATGCTCAGATGTACAGATAATACCACACCAGGATGGCTATTAATATTCTAGAAGACAAATACAAAATTACAAATTACTCTGACAATTTAAAAACACTGTTTCCTTAAAAACAATTAAAATCCAATGAAAAGTGAACATGCTATGTGTAAGCACAAAATATCAAAAATAAAAATAAAGATGGAGATGTGCTGGCCACATGCAAACATATTACACTGTGTTAAAAGAAACAGAGCCTGCAAGAGCCAGAAGGCATTTTCTATCCTGTATTGGTCAGAGATCTTAATTTAAGAATCACATCCAATTTTAATCATCACACTTTTTTTTTTTTTTTTAAGTAGACTCCACGCTGGGCCTGAAGCCCAACATGGGGCTTGAACTCATGACCTTGAGATCAAGACCTGAGCTGAGATCAAGAGTCGGATGCTTAACTGACTGAGCCAACCCAGGTGTTCCAATCACCGTACCGCTAAGTGGAGGAAGAGGCACTAGAGAAGTTTAAGATGACAGTAAAAGAAGATAAAAGGACGTTGGACGTTAAAAATGCAACATGAAAAAAAATTTTAAACATAGAATGTTTAATGCAAAAAGAAGTAAGATGGAACTTGATAAGGATCACCAAGTGTTGGACAAATGTTTATTGTGTGCCTGTTATGCATACAGGGCAGGGCAGAGGCCACAGCAAGCCCCTGGGGAACAGATGTGACTCTAATAGGTGGCTCTAAGTGCCACCGGGGGCAGGCGAGTCATCATAGAATGTGGAGGAAGAAAAACTGAATTCTGCCTGGGGAAGTGTTCAGAGAAGAGGTGAACATGCACAGCAAAGTGCCTGCCACACAGCAAGGATCCCACAAGCAACAGACATTAGTAGTCAGACTGAAGGACAGGGTAAAACACAGCAGTAGAGGAAGAGCTGAGACTGAAAAGGTTAATTTGGTGCGAGATGACGAAGATTCTAGTAATTCATGCTGAGGTAGCAGGACTTTATCATAAGTAAATGGGGAGCTATCGCATGTTTTTGAGCTGTTGGTAACTCCTAATGGAGGCGCCAACTCATAACAGTGAGGAAGACGGTAGAAGGCAGTGGGATCAGTGAGAGGAGGAACAGTTAGATTACTGCAGCAATGTAAACAAGAATAGAGCTGGGGGACGCCTGACTGGCTCAGGAGGGGGAGCACACGACTCTCTGATCTCAGGGTCACGAATTCGAGCCCCATGTTGGGGGTAGAGATAACTCAGAAAAATATAAATCTTAATAATAATAATAATAAAAGAATAGCTTGAACCAATGTGAGAAGAATGAGAGGGAGAGAACGGACTGGAGAGCCTTCCCAGGCTCATACTCAATAGGGCTTCAGATTCAGGAATAAGAGAGTGCGGAGTTGAAGATAACTCTAAGGCTGGGAAGCCTAGGAAACGGGATGGATACCATTAAACTAAATGGGAAAAAGAATGAAGTAGTAGGTTTGAGATGGGACAAGGGGGTGTTTCTTGGGAAAGAAAAACAGTCTGTTTCAGTCACAGTAAGTTGGAGGTGTTCGAACATATTCAACTGAAGAGATCTGTACAGCACAGTCTAGCCACTGGAACCAGACAAAAAGCTGAGGAGGGTCAGACAGGTAGAAGAATCAAGACAGGTGTTGCAGAAATCAAAGGGAACTAATTTCAAAGAAAGGGTGGTTAGAGGTACCAAATATGCAGAACGATACTAGTTACAATGAGGACTGGAAAGAGATAACTGGCCATGGGAATTGAGAAGTCAGTGATGACCTTAGAAAGGACATGCTTAGTAAAACGGTGCAGATGAAACCAGACTGCAGAAAGGTGAGGAAAGGCAGGCAGGTGAGGAAATAAAAGCAGTGAAGACAGAGAGTTTGTGGTTTTTGCACAGGTACGTAGTCATTTTTCCCACATTTGTGAAAGACCAAACAAAAGAAAAGGTCCCTACCATACTGGGCTGAGTTGGATAACCTGTCAATGGGTAAGAGAACATTTCTTAACCACTAAGATCAAGCTAAAACTCTAAAGTGGGTTAAATGGAGCATGTGGGATACTTGCCAACGCTTCAAGAAAAGAATCAACAGCACTCCTAGAGAAGCCTGGACACCCACCTACAGAGAGGCAGGGGTGTCTAACAAAGACAGATTTTTCAAGGTCTCTTTCAGTTCCACAGTCCTATGCTGCTAAAGGACAGGATTGTTTACTTTTACGCCACTCAGAAAAGTTTACAAATCTGTCAGGTACAGCTGTCTTGAACACTCACTTTTTGGTAAGCTCTTTGATTTTGTCCTGATTTCTCTGATGATGAACTTGTATTTCCTCAATGCGAATCCGTCTATCCTCCATGAGCCCTTCAACTTGCTCTCTAGAAAGCTTGGTCTGCTCTTCCAGCTGAGCCTGCAGTGATTCCACCTAGACAGGCCAAAAGGGGTGAGGTATCCACTCCTGTCTTGCTTCCACTTATTTCTTACCTCGAAAAGCGAGTCTTTCTCCAGAAAACTTTAAAAAACAAAACAAAAAATCCACAAACAAAAGCACAGCAACAAAACAAATAGAAGAAAAATCTTAAGTGTACTCCTTTTTATGTAATGTCTTATAAATGGGGTTAGGCTACACAAGAGCAAGCTCTGTCCACACTAAACAAAGCATCTGCATCACACACAAAAAGCTAGAAAATCCAGTTTCCTCTATACCCTAACAGTCTCAGCTTTTCACTATCTCCCCCTTGGGATTCTTAGGACTATCTCCCTTCTAAGACTCCCTGGTTGCATAGAAATAGAATGACTCTTTTCTTCATTTTTTAATTTAAAAAGTAGAGCAAAATCAGTATCATGTAATTTCCTTCTCTGGTTCTGGCTGTCACTCCAAGCAGAGATACTGGCCACAGGTAGAAACTATCATTTAAGGCAACAGACTCCTCTTGCACCCCTGTAAGGACAGGAACTTGAGTGCACCTAGAAAAAAAATCATGGTTGCAAAAAATACACAATTACTAGGTGGTAAAAGGATGATTGAGGACTTCGGAACACATGCACTAAATAAACGGATATACCCCTACAGGTTAATCTATCAGCAGAGACAATTTTAACTCTGCGTGTCTCCCCTAAGGCCAACCACAAAGGGAATTCTTACTGTATGACAGTTTTGTTGGGTAGGGCTAAGCATATAAGCTGAACGAACAGAAGGTTCAGAATAGCACTTCTAGAATGGCTGAACAAAGAATAATGGTTTTAAAACATAAAGTCTTAGAAATTAGGAACAACCTAAATTTTCTTAATCACTTGATGCCTAGATATAATATGTGTGCAAGGCCATCAAAAAAAATGAAATCTTGCCATTTGCAATGATGTGGATGGAACTAGAGGATATTATGCTAAGCAAAATAAGTCAATCAGAGAAAGACAATTATATGATCTCACTGATATGTGGAATTTAAGAAACAAGGCAGAGGATCATAGGGGAAGAGAGGAAAAAATGAAACAAGATGAAATCAGAGAGGGAGACAAAATAAGAGACTCTTAATCTTAGGAAACAAACTGATGGTTGCTGGAAGGGAGGGGGGTGGGGATGGGGTAACTGCGTGATGGACATTGGGGAGGGTGTGTGTTGTAATGAGCATTGGGTATTATATAAGACCGATGAATCACAGACCTGTACCCCTGAAACAAATAATATAGTATATGTTAATAAAAAAAAAGAAATGAAAACATGTCCACACACACACAAAAAAAAAAAAGAAAGAAAAAAATATGTGTGCAAGGAGATACTTCTATGATAACAAAGATATGTTACACAAAGCTAAACTTGTGGACAGAAACTGTCCTGGTCTGCTTTACCTGTAGGATAAGTGTTTGTATGTCTCTTTGGTATTGCTCAGAAGTTTCTTCCTTCTCTCTCATTGCTGGTTTTCTTTTGTTTACTTTAGAATCTAAGATAGAAAACAAAAATTAATCAAGACCTTTATTCAGTTTTTCTTTTGGCTATTTGAGCATCAGCAGACCTCTGCAGAAGAGGTTTCATTTACCTAGAAGAGAAGGAAAGGAAAAAAAAAGGAAAGCATACAATGACTATAGTAATACTTTTTCAAATGGGAATCTCTCTAAAGGAACTCTGCGAGGAGGTCTCCTGGATAATAATATTCATCTTTCTAAAGAATTTTCCTTTGGAGTTGTATCTTCATAATTTTTTATGAATTTTTTATGTATTTTTCTTCATAAAATCTTATTTAATCAGAAAAGGTAAGGAATAAGGAAAAGTAAGTCTAAACATTCGGTTATGATGGATCACCCAATTTTCAAAAAACAAGATTTTAAAAATAAGCAACACTAAAATTATACTGAACAAAATTCCTAGGATGATTCAAGAGGCTTATGCTAAGAGAATAGATCTTAAAAGTTCTCATCATAAGAAAAACAAATCTGTAACCATGTGTGGTGATGAATGTTATCTAGATTTATTGTGATGATCATTTCATAATATATACAATTATTGAATCCTTACATTGTATACTTAAATGTAATGTTATATGTCAATTGTATCTCAATTTTCTAAAAAAAGGCAAAGAAATAAAATTGGGATTTCCATTTAAAAAAGAGAGAGAGGAGACTGAGGCTTAAAAGCTAATTAACATTCTGTGATCCCAGAAGTTATCCAAATCTGTTTTATCATCTGTAAGCATGTTTATTATGTATTTTTTATTCTCCTTTATTAAAACATCATGGGAAGGTTAAAGGAACAAAAGCTCAGTGAGATCTTAAACCAGCAGAGACATCATTATGAAAATTTATTATTATTACATAGTGGAAACGAAATCTAATTATTTGCACCATGTTTTTGAATTCTGCCTCGAGAATTTATAATATGGCTGGTACCTGCTCTGAAAGCTGAGGAAGATTCATTCTGTTCACATATACCTACAGCCTGGATAGTCTTTGAGTGAATGCTGACCTGAAGAAGCAAAAAAACCAAAAAGTACAGAATTAGCTTTCCTATAAATGTCGTATTTCACTTTTTAGCTTTACTTCTGTAGATCAAAACACTATTCATAAATCCAATTGGTCAAAACTGCCATAATCATATAAGGATGTCATGCATGGGAGACACCAAAGTGGACAAAGTAACAAAGTGGATAAAACTCAATGCTAGTGATATAAACTAAAAAATTAAACTTCAGAGTTATTTCATAATATCTGCTAAAAGAAAGGGGCAGGGGATCTTTGGCAAGGGCCTTTAGGAAAATAATGGGAACACAAAAGCATGCATATGTAGATATGCATAAAGATGCTCACTGATCGCTTCTCGGCCTTTTGGCTAAGATCAAGTGAAGATGCTCACTGAGGCAGTTTATAGAAGAGTAAAAATGGAAAAACTATATATACACATAAATATTTCTATATGAATGGAAAAAGAGCTTTATCTCTGGGATAAAAGAGACTGCCACTTTTATATGACAGATTTCTGAAATCTGTCTGTTTTTAATAAAGACCATCATTACTTTTGTCATCAGCATAAACTAAGATTAAAAAAGAAACCTGAGTATTGCAAACTTGCTCCCATACTAAGTCAGCTCTTGCTTTCCTCTCTAATCTCACCCAAAACATCCACTCTTCTGTGCTTTAAGGTTTCCAAACAGTGAAATGGGGTAAATGATGGTTTTTTGGGGAAAAAAAGAGTAAGTAAAAGCACAAAGCTCTTTGTAATTACAGAAAATGCTTTGAAGACTTAGAGACTATGACAGCTAATTCTCTTCTATCTTCTTTAGCAAGTACCAAAATTGCTCTTATTTTGGACCCCAGCCTGCATTTTATAAAAAATCATGCTTACCATGCCATACCAAATATTACTTACTTTGTTTGGAGGCTCCTTATAAAAATAGGTCACTTCTCCAGTGTCTGTGCCCACAAGAGCCAAGAGATTCTGAATCTTTTTCTTGTCTTCTAGCTCCCTGCAATTCTCATAGAGAGTAAGCACACATTGTGTTCAGAGGAAGTAAAATTTTCTATTTAAAGGATCTCCTTTCTGATTTATTTTTAAGACAATGGCAACATCAAATTAAAATTGAATAAGATTTATTGAGACCTTAGCTCTAATTTTTAAAACATCAGATATTTATATTCAGGAATTCAGAGAGAAGGGACCAGAAAGTAATTTCTTAGTTGGTTCTAGAAGAGAATTATAGTGGATGCTGGGGTACACTGCTCAGATTCTCCTCTTTAGCACTGATGGGTTCATTCCTCCAACTGTCAGCAATGTTGCAAACTGTGGCTCACGGGTGAATCTCTCTCCAGAATTGTCCTCAGTTAAGAGGGACTTGCTTAACCAACTGTATATCCAATGGACAGACTACACCCAATGCCTGGCTAATGAGAGGGCAGAAAAGTCCAATCCCCTTGCCTTAATTCAGGATATCTCTGAAGGGCCATCCCAGCTTCAGTGCACCCTGTGGCATTGGCTGAGGTCTTTTGAAATTAATTAAATAGTTCAACTGCTGCCCAATCAGACTTTCCTTATTCCTTCATAGGTGGTTATTCCTGAGGGCACTCTCCAATAAATCTCCTGCAAGCAAATCTCCACTGCAGAGTCTGTTTTCTTGGGAACCCAACCTAAGACCATTGATATCAGAAATGGACCAAGGAAGCAAACTCTAAAACGAGATTTCAGAGCCTGTGATATGGAGATGGTTAATAGAACATAGTGTTCTTGGGGCGCCTGAGCGGCTCAACTGGTTGAGCATCTGACTCTTGATTTGGGCTCAGGTCGTGATTTCGGGGTCATGGGATCCAGCCCTGCATTGGGTTCTGTGCTCAGCAGAGAGTCTGCTGGAGATTCTCTCTCTCCCTCTATCCCACCCCCCACTTGTGCTCATTCTCTAAATAAATAAAATCTTAAAAAAAAACCAAACATAGTGTTCTTAGGAGCAAGACAGATGGGTGGTTAACAGGGTACAGCTTAAAAAATTAAAATAAATCAAAGATGGGCGCCTGGGTGGCTCAGTTGGTTAAGCATCCAACTTTTAACCTCAGCTCAGGTCTTAATATCAGGGTCATGAGTTCAAGCTTCACACTGGGCTTCATGCTTGATGTGGAGCTTAATTAAAATAAATAAATGAATAAATAAAATAAAATAAAATAAAATAAATCAAAGATGGAGGGAGGCTAAGGGCAGCACCCTATACAAAATCACAATCTCTGACCCATCTTCCACACCTCAGCCAGTTTTAAGACTATTACTTGACAAAGAAGCTGGGTCCCCAGGAGGTAAGACTTGGTAAGACAGCAAGTGTACATGATACTGAGTCCCCTAGTCTCCCCAAAAGACCCATGGCCATTTATTTAAGTAATTATACACTGGAGGAAAGGAATTACCCAGGTAATTCAAGGACTGATGGATCCAGGGTCTGAATTGACATTGATACCTGCATTATCATGGCACTGGAGTATATAGGAACCATGTAATCAACAGAATTTTGTTCCAGGTCCAGCTCACAGTGGATCCACTGGGTCCAGACCCAATCAACGGTCAGTTTCCCCATCTCCAAATGTATAACTGCAATGGACATATTTGGTAGTTGGCAAAACCTTCAACAAACTTCTTGGCTTTTGGGTTAAGGTAAGAGGAAGACTCTGAAACTGCCCCTCCCTACCCCTGCCAAGATGGTAAATAAAGACTTAAAGGATGTAGGGGTCAAGGTCACCATCAAATCCCCATTTAATTCACAGTATGACCTATGCAAAACCAGAAGGATAACAGTGGACTACTACCAAGTAGGTCCCAATTTTGGTCACTATGCTAGATGTAGTGTTTTTGCTAGAGCAGATTAACTTGGTTTTAGGTACATGGTATACGGATACTGATTAAGCAAATGTACTCCTTTCCATTCCTAACAGGACCGGAAATAGTTCCCATTTGTGTGGGGGGTGAACACAGTATACTTTTACAGTCTTTCCATAAAACCAGGTTAACTCTTCCGTGTGCTCTCAAGTAAGCCTAAAGAGACCTGGATCTGGCCATACCACAGATCTCATTAGTTCACTACTAATGATATCAGATTAAATTAGACTGTATAGGCAAAAAATGGCAGATGCGTTAGAACCCTTGGTAAGATACATGTGCTTCAGAGAGTTGGAGGTAAACCTTACAAAGCACATCAGTGAAGTTTTAGGGGTCTGATCTAGGCATGACAGGACATTCCCTTCAAAGTAAAGGACAAATTATTGTACCTTACTCTTACCAGGAAGAAAAAAAGACTCTTCAGGTCTCTCCAGAGAACAGAGTCCATACTCTGGAATACTGCTCTGACCCATATATCAAGTGACATGAAAGGTGAGCTTTCAGTGTGGCCCAGAGTTGAAAGGAAGTTCTGTATTAGGTCAAGGCTAAAATTATTAAGAAGATTGAGTTGGTAATCAAAAACCTCCTGACAAAGAAAAACTCTGGACCTGATGTCTTCACTCAAACCAAGTATTTAAAGGACAAACACCAATAATTCTCAAACTTTTTTTTTTTTTTAAAGATTTTATTTATTTATTTGAGAGAGAGAGAATGAAAGACAGAGAGCACGAGAGGGAGGAGGGTCAGAGGGAGAAGCAGACTCCCTGCCGAGCAGGGAGCCCGATGCGGGACTCGATCCGGGGACTCCAAGATCATGACCTGAGCCGAAGGCAGTGGCTTAACCAACTGAGCCACCCAGGCGCCCTTCTCAAACTTTTCTAAAAATTGAAGATGAGGGCGCCTGGGTGGCTCAGATGGTTAAGCGTCTGCCTTCGGCTCAGGTCATGATCCCAGGGTTCTGGGATCAAGTCCCACATGGGGCTCCCTGCTTAGCGGGAAGCCTGCTTCTCCCTCTGCTTCTCTCCCTCTCTCTCTGTGTCTCTCATGAATAAATAAATAAAATCTTTAAAAAAATAAAAAAAAATAAAAATTGAAGATGAGGCAACACTAACTCATTCTATGAGGCCAGCATTGCCCTGATACCAAAGCCAGACAGACATTACAAGGAAACTACTCTATACCAATATCCCTCATGAACACTGATGTAAAAATCCTCAACAAAATACAAGCAAACCAAATTCAGGAGCATATTAAAGAATTACACATCATGATTAAGTGGAATTTATTTCTGGACCAAGCATAGTTCAGCATATGAAAATTGATCAATGTAATACACCACATTAACAGAATAAAGGAAAAAAACCACAATCATCAATTGATAAAGAAATCTCATGTAACATTCAAAACCCTTTTATGATAAAAACACTCAACAAACGAGGTAAAGAAGAAAACAACCTCTACCTAATAAGAGCCATGTATGGAAAACGCATAGCTAACATCATACTTAATGGTGAAAGACCAAAAGTTTTCCTCTATGATCAAGAACAAGACAAGGATGCTCACTTTCACAACTTCCATTTAACACAGTACTGGAAATTCTAGCCAGGGGAAGTAGGCAAGAAAAAAGGAAAAGACATCCAAAGTGGAAAGAGAGAAGTAAAATTATCTTTGTTCAAAGATGACATGATCTTCTATGTAGAAAACCTAAGGGTTCCACAAAAACAACAAAACCAAACCAAACAAACCAAGGAAATCCTATTAGAACTGATACAAGAGAATTCAGCAAAGTAGCAAAATACAAATTCTTCATGCAAAAATCAGTTGCATTTCTATACACTAATGGTGAACAATCTGAAAAGGAAATTAAGATAATAATTTGCTTTATAACAACATCAAAAAGAATAAAATACTTAGGAATTAACCAAGGAAGTAAAAGACTTGTATACTAAAAACACTGCTGAAAGAAATTAAAGAACACATAAATAAATGGATTGGAAGACCTGATATTATGATGTCAATATTACCCAAAGCAATCTACAGATTCAGGGCAACTCCCATCAAATCTCGATGATATTTTTTGCAGAAATAGAAAAATCCATCCTAAAATTCATATGGAATCTCAGGGAACTCAAAATAGTTAAGACAATCTAGAAAAAGAACACAGTTGGAAGACCCACACGTCTTGATTTCAAAACTTACTACAAAGTTACAGTAATCAAAACAGTGTGGTACTGACAATAATGACAGACCTATAGACCAGCGGAATCAAATAGACAGCTCAGAAATAAGTCCCACATGTATGGTCAAATGATTTTCAACTTTCAATGGAGAAAAGACAGTCTTTTCAACAAATGGTACTGGGAAAACTGGATATCCAACACACAAAAGAATGAAGGTGGACCCTTACCTAACACAATATACAAAAATTACCTTAAAATGGATCAAAAACCTACCTGTAAGAGCTAAAACTATAAGACACACTGGGGGTGCCTGGGTGGCTCAGTCGGTTGAGCGTCCAACCCCTGATTTCGGCTCAGGTCATGATCTCAGGGTTGTGAGATGGAGCCCTGTGTTGGGCTCTGCACTTGGTGTGGAGCCTGCTTAAGATTCTCTCTCTCCCTCTCCCTCTGCCCCTTCCCCACGTCCACTCATGAGCGCTCTCTCTTAAAAACAAACAAAAAAAACAACTATAGTGATATTGGATTTGGCAATGATTTTTTGAATATGACACCAAAAGCAGATGCAACAAAGGGAAAAGTATACCAATTGGACCTTACGAAAATAAAAAGTTTTTTTGCATCAAAAGGATTATCAACAGAGTAAAATGGCAACACTCAGAATGGGAGAAAATATTTACAAATCACTTATCTATTGGATTAAAGTGGATTAAATCCAGAATATATAAAGAACTCTTAAAAACTAAACAACAGTAAAAATCAAAGAACCCAATTCAAAAATGGGCAAAGGGCTTGAACAGACGTTTCTCTAGAGAAGACACAAACTGGCCAAAAAGCATGTGAGAAAAGGCTCAATATCACTCATCGTTGGGGCAGTGCAAATCAAAACAATGAGATACTATTTTTACACCCATTACGATAGCTATTATTAAAAAAAAAACAGAAAACAAATGTTGGTATGAATAAGAAACTGAAACTCTTGTGTACTTCTGATGGGAATGTAAAATGGTGCAGTCACTATCAAAACCAGCATGGTAGTTCCTCAAAAATATAGAATTAGCATTTGATTCAGCATTCCACTTCTGGGTATATACACAAAAGAACTGAAAGCAGGGACTTGAATAGGTATTTGTACACCAATGTTCATAGCAGTATTATTCACAATAGCTAGAAGGTGGAAACAATTCAAATGTCCATCAGTGGATGAATGGATAAACAAAATGTGGTAAGTACATACAGTGGGATATTATTTGGCCTTAAAAAGGAATGAAATTTTGATACATGCTACAACATGGATGAACCTTGAAAACATTATGCTAAGTGAAATAAGCCAGACACAAAGGGACAAATACTGTATGATTCTACTTCTGTGAGGTCAAATACATATATGGAAAGTAGAACAGTGGTTACTAAGGGCTGGGGGGGGTGATGAGTTATTGTTTAATGGGTACAGAGTTTCTATAAGGGACAGTGGAAAAGTTCTAGAGCTGGATAGTGGTATGGCTGCATGATAACATAAATATACTTAATGCCACTGCACCATACACTTGAAAATGACTAAAATGGTAAATTTTATGTTAAGTATATTTTATCACAATTAAAAAAAATTTAGTAGTGGATGCTGTGGAACACTGCTCAGATGCCACCTTCAGGACCAAGACACCCATCACACAAGAGCTGAGTCCTTCTCCAGGAACTGCCCTAGGCTGAAGGAGGCTGCCTCTCTCAGGTTTACATCCCCTCCCTGGTGACAGCCGACATCCAATGAGTATAAAAGGTCAACTCGTTTGCCTCTGAATGGCTGTCCTGGCCTCAGAGCTCCCCTTGTGGTTGGCTGAAGCCTCTGCTACCACGGAATCACAGTTCAAATTCTCCCTCTGCCCAAATCTGCTCATAGATGTTATTCCTCAGAGTCCCCCCTACTAACCATCCTCACATCCCTCTCAGAATCTGCTTCCTGGGGAACACAACCTAAGAGGACCATAGAGAAATGTATCTTGTTTAGTGTAATTTATTTATTTATTTTCTAAGATTTTATTGATTTATTTTACAGAGAGAGACACAGCGAGAGAGGGAGCACAAGCAGGGGGAGTGGGAGAGGGAGAAGCAGGCTTCCAATGGGACTCGATCCCAGAACCCTGGGATCATGACCTGAGCCGAAGGCAGATGCTTAATGACTGAGCCACCCAGATGCCCCTCGTCTAGTGTAATTTAGAAATAGAACCCCAATATTTCCCTTCTCCCACTTGGTACCTGATTCTCAGTCGGTCGTTTTCTGAGTAGAGGCGTAAAACATGCTCCCGTTCCTGGAAGAGGCAGACCTGTATATCACTTAGAGCTTTCTGCAATTCAGCAATCTCTTCCTCCCTCTGCTGCAAATCCCCTTCTAGTTTATGCTGGGGGGAGGAAAAAAAGGTAGTTGAAAAGATATTGCACTTCACAGGAGTATCTCTGATTGGATATGGTGGATCAGTTCATGCAGAAATATTACAAAGTGAATGGTTTCACCAACACGGAATTCAAATGACAACAACAGGTTGTGTACAGACTTGAGTTTAAAAGCTGAAGGGTAGGGCGCCTGGGTGGCTCAGTTGGTTAAGCGACTGCCTTCGGCTCAGGTCATGATCCTGGAGTCCCTGGATCGAGTCCCGCATCGGGCTCCCTGCTCGGCAGGGAGCCTGCTTCTGCCTCTGACCCTCCCCCCTCTCATGTGCTCTCTCTCTCTCATTCTCTCTGTCTCAAATAAATAAATAAAATAAAATAAAATAAAAATCTTTAAAAGCTGAAGGGTAAAAAAAAAAAAAGCTACAGGGTGAGTGTGATGTTTGCCTATAACATCAAAGCTCTCCTATCTTTCTTTTACAGACTACAGAACCCTATAATGCCGTATGATTTACCTGTTCTAGTCACACTTTTTTTTTAATGCTTTCTATGTAATAAGAATTATATAATTTTGGAAAAACAAAGATAAAAAGGTATGATTCTTGCCTACAGAGTTGGAAGAATTTTGTGGGGGGAGAGATGTTTAATGTGTAAACATTAAAATGAAATAGTTATTTCATGAAAGAGTGTGCATCGTAAAATGGAATAAAACCTCTGCAGGTATTGAGAAGTCAGAGAACACAACCAAAGTTGGAACTTGAAAGATGAAAACTGCTAGAGACGAGCAGAGGGCGGGTACTCTTGGGGAAGAGCGAGAAAGAACCATCAGAGCCTTACGTGTCTGGGCAACCCCAAGTATTTCAGTGCTGCTGGAGTGGACAGTCAGAGGCAGAGTGGGAAAGTATGAGGCCACAGGCTGGATACTGGTAAGGAGGACACTGTAATAGTTTGGGGGAGACATAATGAAAGTTGGAACTAGTGTTGAGGAAACAGTGACTAAGTTGTTGGAATGGGTGAAGTGATATTTAGGAAGCAGAATGAAGAGGACTTACCAAGTGAGGGAAGTAGGGGCTGGGGAGAATTGCAGGCAACGATACCATTTACTGGACATGGAATTAAGAAAAAGTGAAGAGATAAGGAATGGAGGGAGGGGAAATGTTCGTGGTACAGATTATGTGTGGGTAGGTAGGAAAGAGGAGAGTAGTTCAGACATGGACAGGTTAATGTGGAACTCAGGAGAAAAGTGTGTTAGTTATTTGGTGTCATCATCTCATATATAGTAGTAGAACACATGAATACGACAAGACCATATATGGTGGAATCTAGAACTTTGATATTTAAGACTAAGGAAGGGGGGCTGTTGATGGAGACTGAGAAGAACTGGTCAGAGAGGTAAGACAGAAACTAGGAAAGGAAAATGACACGGAAATCAAGAAAGGACAAGTCTGCAGAAAGGAGAGATCAATAGTGACAAATACTGCAAAGGCCACAAAGAGATCATTTTGACTAGCAGGTTCCAGAGACCATAGGAGGTGCACCTTTAGTGGAGCAATGGGGACAGAGACCAAACTGCAGTCAAGAGGTCACTGAGTAGGTGACAAACTCAAACTATTCTACAGGTGTGGTTGAGAAAAGAGCCATCTACATATGAGAGTAGTTAGAGGGAAGCACAAGTACAGAAGAAAGACTTGAGTAGGTTTATATACTGAGGACAAAAAGCCAACGTCAGGCAAGAAGTTAAAAATAGAGATGATGAAGCAGGGTTTCTGAGGAGGAGAAAGGAATGGGGGCTAGGGGGACTGTTGGATCAGTGCAGCTTGAACAGGCAGAGATAGCTTGTCCCTGAAGCAGTAAAAAGAAGAGAGATGGATATAGACATAGATGACCTGTGTGGATGGGCAAGAAGAGAGCGCATGTGTGATAGCCAGTGTCTCCTCCGTGAACTAGGAAACAAGATGGCCTGAGAGAAGAGAGCTAAGAAGGGGTTGCAGGCTGGTGGAGGGTGAAGGTATGGCACAGATATGCACAGGCAAAAAAACTGCTGTATAGTGACTAAGGATACAGATGGACAAGTTTACCATGAATTTATTCTGTAATGATAGGTAACTGTTCTAGGACAATGGTTCTCAACTGGGGGCGATTTTTGCCTATGCCCCCAGGAGGAATTGGGCAACGTCCACAGGCATTTTTGATGGTCATGACTGGAGGTCGGGGGGATGGGGGAAGAGGTGTGCTACTGATATCTAGTGAGTGGAGGCCAAGGATGCTACTAAACATCCTGCAATGCACACAACAGTCTTCACGACAAACAAGTACCAAGCCCCAAATGTCAATAATGCTAAGGTTGAGAAATCCTGCTCCAAGAGAAGAGGTGGTGGAGAACTGGATGAAATTATACCTAGCGTTTGTGCTATGCAAGCAGGGCCAGAAGAATAAGCATGGGGTCCCATGCAGGCAGTACAGTTACTGAAGTGAAGCACAGTGGAATTTGGGTTAGGAAGGAAGGATGTGAGGTCAGAAGCTGGCAGGCAACACTGAGAAAATTGAACTATCAAGGAGTTACAGAGCTAACAATGAAGTTAAATGAAGTCAGGTGTAAGGGGGTGAAAGAACTAGAAGTATAAAAGAGACCTCTAAGGTTTTAGAGGTCTAGCAGTTGGCGGAGATTATAATCTAGTGAGGGACCCAAAGGGTGGATAGGTAGCTAGGCTGCGGTAGAAAGGAATAAAAAAAGAATTTTTAAAAGAAAATATCTGCTTATAATATGAGCTGGCACTTCTCTCAGGAATGAATAGACTCAACCGGAGTCCTAAAAGGGTATAACGCATCATCCCTTTCACCTGTGCATCACAAGCTGCTTTGTAGAGTTCCAGTTTCTTTAACAGGTCTTCATTTTCTTCCTCACACTCGGCCATCTTCTTTTGGTAATATTCCAGAAGCTCCTGAGAAGGGCAGAGGACAGCCAGACGATCTTCCGTGGAAAGCAAGGGAGTTGACTCCATCGAATCCAAGAAAGACATTCCCTTCCACTTGGTGGGACCACTGAAGTCACAGGGAACATCATGTTTGGAGACAGTTGTTGGCCTGTGAGAAATCAGAAAGGACATATTCATTAAACTATTTGAACACTTACAAGACATTATAATTTCTTTTTTTTTTTTTAAAGATTTTATTTATTTGACAGAGAGAGACACAGCAAGAGAGGGAACACAAGCAGGGGGAGTGGGAGAGGGAGAAGCAGGCTGCCCTCTGAGCAGGGAGCCTGATGCGGGGCTCGATCCCAGGACCCTGGGATCATGACCTGAGCCGAAGGTAGATGCTTAATGACTGAACCACCTAGGCGCCCCGAGACATCATAATTTCTTTTTTTTTTTTAAGATTTTATTTATTTATTCATGAGAGACAGAGAGAGAGAGGCAGAGGGAGAAGCAGGCTCCCAAGGAGCAGAGAGCCCGATGCGGGACTCGATCCCAGGACCCTGGGATCATGACCTGAGCCGTAGGCAGACGCTTAACCATCTGAGCCACCCAGGCGCCCGAGACATCATAATTTCTTAAATAAAAAAGGAGTTTATGTTCTTGAAGTGCTATAATTAAGGTGCTCACAAACCTTCAAAGTTTGATGTTCTGGGTTAGTGACTAATTTTATGAACTGGTTCCCAAGTATTAAAGACTTAAAGCTAGATTCAAAATATATGTTAAAAAAGTAAAAAGATCATTAAAAAAATGAAATATTACCCAAGTAAGACCAGGTAATAACAGAAAATTTAATACTATTAAGATACATAGCAAAAGAACACTATACACTTGACACTACAGAGAGTAATTTGGCAGAATCTAGTAAAACTGCTATTCCTCTTGTCCTAGAGAAATTCATGCATATGTGTACAAGGTGACACATATGAAAATGTTCATAGCAACATTATTGTAATAACAAAAATGGTAAACCTTCCAGACATCCACTCAGTAGGGTAATGGATAAATTGTGGTATATTTATATAAATGGAACATTACTCAAAGTCATTAGAAACTATGGATTAGAGATATCCAAATATGAATGAATCCTCCAAGCAACATTAAATGGGGAAATGTGCATAGATGCCTATGTAGAAGATATTACCATTTATTTAAGAATGGAACTTGCCAAATGAAACTGTTTTTAGGAACAGGTACATATAAGTGGCAAAATTATTAAGAAAGGGAATGATAAATATAAGATTCAGGATTAGAAAACATAGCCTTAGTTAGTAACCACATAATCACATCAGCATCAGAGACATTTGAATTACACAGACCAAGACTAGACAAGATCAAAGGTTAATGAAAGGCTGGGCAAGAAGTTCTCTTTGCTTTTAGCAAACAAGAGCGTTCGTCTAAAACAATGCAAGTCAGAAAACAAATGGTGTGGAAGTGGAGAAACCCCGTGAAAATTAATCCACTTTGGCTTACTCCCTGCAATTTACAACATAACAAAATAGACAGTGTGGAGAAACTTTATACTGGATGCCAGAGCTGTAGTTAACAAAGGAGATGGTCAGCACCTTTAATAAGTAGGCATGTATAGAAGAGATATTAAAATTTACTTTCAGCTAGCATGAAGGAAAAACCCCTAGCATTTTCTCAATCACTAAAAGCTCGTGACAGAAATGTTCTTTTACTTAATGTTTCATGTCTTCAAAGGGAGTTATAACTACTCTGGGAAAGAGATCAGTAGATGAACTAAGAGGTACTGCTGAGATTTTGCAGTTTAGAGTTGTGGCAATGAGGATGAGGATGTCTGTCATGTGGAAAGTTGATGGCATAATCAGAATTAAAAGTCCCCTGTTTGCATGCTGGTTGGTTGTTTCCTCTGTAATCCAGGATCCACGGGCACTATACCAGGCCCATTCAAACTGCCTGGATTCGGGTATTAACACTTAATATGTCCTAGTTTTAAATCCGAATTGCACATAATAAGAATAGAGAAATAAGGCCTAATATAGTTCAAATCCAGAGTTTGGAAACACTTCTAAAACCTTTCTAGTTCCTAAGCTAACTTGCACTTACGGCTACAGAAGGCTTGATTCTTTAACAACTTGAAAATAAGCAAATGTCTTACTTTCTGCAGATGGGGGTATGCACTGGGGTAAAGTTCATGTTGTCCTTTTCACACCTGTAAAATACATGAAAATTCAGAATGAAGGGTCAGGAACAGACCAAAAAAAAAAAAAAACAGTACAGGATACACAGACATGTTCCCTTTCCACCATCACCAGATGTACCTGCTGGCGAGAATGTGATGCTCTAAAATGTAGGATTCTTTATAGTAGTTCCAAATCCTGAAAATCTATGACTTTTGAATTTTCCTAAGGCATTCGTCATTACTATTTTTAAATAAAATCAGAATGGCATCTAATGTTTGGGTGGATAAGCACACACAAAAGAAAAGCCTCCTTAACAACAATGCAAAACGAATTTACAATCCTTTTGCTGAAATAGGAGGGAGATGCAGAAAAGTTTCTAACAAGTAAGGGACGGTAAATGGAAATTAAGGTAGAGGGCCAATTACACTAAATTTAAAATAAATACAAAGCCACTGACATCTGGTGAGCTTTACCTATTGTTTCATCTTAGAGAAAGAAAAAATTACAAGCTTTATAAGGTCCATTTACAATCTCCATTCCAATTACTAACATGTAGCTTGGGTTCCTCTATTTGAATAATCTTATCACAGAAATTTTTATGAAGATAACCTCACAAGCAGGGAGGGAACAGGAGAGAAGGGAAGAAGGGGGAGAGAAGAGGAGAAGAAAGGGAGAAGAGGGAAGAGCGGAGAAGGAGGGAAGGGCAGAGTTTATTTTATTAGCTTAGGGAAAGCTGGCTTATCAAGGATGCTTTTGTGCTCTCTGACAAATAAATAAATAAAATCTTAAAAAAAAAAAAAAAAAAAACACCAGGAGATACCAGTATACACTCTCTAGTGTAACTAATATTAAAAAGAGAGATAATATCAAGTGCCGACAAGGATGTAGAGCAACTAGAACACACACTGCTAGTGCAAGTGTAAAATGTTACACCTATTGTGATGGTTAATTAAAAACAAATAAAATGTAAGTCAAAACACAAAACTCCTCTGCTCAAAAGCCTCCTAAGACTTAGTTTTAGTCAGAGAGCCAAGGTCTTTAAAATGGCTTCCAAGGTCCTACATGATCCGCCTACCCTAGGACTTCTGTGACCCCTACAACTCTCCCCCTGCTCACTGCACCAACAATGGTCTCTGCTATTCTTCAAACACGCCAGACAAACTTTTACTTCAGACTTCAAACTTCTACTTCATTTATGATGTTCTTTTCCCATTTATCTATATATGGCTTGCTCCCTCTCCTTGAGGGTTCTAATGTCACCTTCTTGGTGAAGTCTTCCCTGATCATCTGGCATTCCCTTACCCACCTTCTCTGTTTTACTTTATCACTATCTGACATAGCTAGAAAAGCAGTTTCTGCTTCTCTCTTCCATTAGCTTTCTTCTGCCAAACAACCCTTCGAGTACAGCATCTTTTTCTCACTCTCTCCTTTAAACTCCTCCTTTAAACTCACCTCCTTCCACAAAACTTCTTCAAATTGGGTGAATTTGTCTCTTGTAAAAAACAACCTAGAAAATAAAAACGGTACCTGGGTTGGTATGGTAGGATTATGGGTGACATTTTTAGCAGCTTTATTGAGATATATAATTCACATTCCATACAACTCAAAGTGTACAATTCAATGATTTTAGTATATTCAGTATATGTGCAACCCTCACAATTACATAACATTTTTATCACTTCAAGAAATCCTATATCCTTGGGTGCCTGGGTGGCTCAGTTGGTTAAGTGACTGTCTTCGGCTCAGGTCACGATCCTGGGATCCCGGGATCAAGTCCCGCATTGGGCTCCCCGCTCAGCAGGGAGTCTGTTTCTCCCTCTGACCCTACCCCCTCTCATGCTCTCTCTCAAATAAATAAATAAAATCTTAAAAAAAAAAAAAAGAAATCCTATATCCTTTAGCCATCACCCCTGTGCTCCACCTCCCCCCCCAAGCCCTAAGCAACTACTAATCTACTTTCTATTTCTATAGATCTCACTACTTTGGACTCCCATATGAATGAGATCATATAGTATGTGGTCTTTTGTGATTGGCTATGATGGGTTTCTTCTCTCATGATGGGTATGTTCCTTGCAGAAAAGAAAATGGGCTTTACTCATTATTGTATCTCCCAAAAGAACAATGTCTTTGTTTATAGATAAGGGTTTCAGGTAGCTTCTATTCCTCTATCTCCTGTGGTATCTTCCTTTAGGGTTGTTGTTGTTTTTTAATATAGCTTTATCCCTCCTTACAATTAAATCTTTTTTTTTTTAAGATTTTATTTATTTATTTGACAGAAAGCACAAGCAGGGGGAGCAGCAGGCAGAGGGAAAGGGAGAAGCAGGCTCCCTGCAGAGCAGGGAGCACGATGAGGGGCTCAATCCCAGGACCCCAGGATCATGACCTGAGCCGAAGGCAGTCGCTTAACCAACTGAGCCACCCAGGCGCCCCACAATTAAATGTTGATTAGCATTTTGACATTTACTTTGATTACCCCCACAATAACTGTCAAGTATTTTTATTATTCCTTACTTCTACAAATGAGGAAATTTAGGGCTTAGACTATCTTGGGATGAGGGAATATTGGAACGCATTTCCAGGACCTCCAAAATTCTATACTCCTTTTTACATTTCATCCCGTTGTCGACTCCTTCATTGCTATGGCTCCCCAATCCTCCAACACCCCCGAAACCTTTCACTTTGCACGTTCTAACTTCCCTCTTCCGGTCCCCGCACTTACTTCTCCCTCACCAGGTTTTTTTAGCCCAAGGCCCCATTCCCTAATCCCAGCATCCTAAACCCAAACCTCTGTACTCACGCCAAACTAAGCCTCCGAGTCAGAGACCCCAACCGAAAAACAAAACTTAAATCCGGTAGCGTCGCGGCGCCAGTGAGCGTGCACGAATTCTTCCAATCGCCCACGAGTTTACACGGCCCTTTGGATTGAGCACCAATAGGAAGGCTATTCACATAGAGACACGCCCCCCCCTTTCCCCGCCCTTCCTCGCTACGCGTCTAACCGCGCAGAGATCGCCGGGAAGTGTAGTCTTACTTGTGTACATGGCTTCCCCGGGTGGAGCATGTAAACCAATTGCAACTCAGCCCATCCCAGTACTGGCTGTGTGATGTTTGGGGTCAGAACGCACTAGCTCTGGGTACACCCAGTTTAAGTTTGTTCAACTAGTTTGTTTTCACGAAAAATTACTCAGGAACGCGATGCATAATTATGGAATGGATCACAGGATTATTATGTGTTGCAATTTACAAGCTTATATCAAGGTGAAGATTCTAAGAAGATAGTTTCTCCTTCAATGACCTGGTGGCCTAGAGCCAAGATAGGACCTGTGGTTCAATTTCTACAGTCAGAGGATTATGTATATAAATGCTACTATTTTTTTTAAGATTTTTAAATTTTTATTTATTTGACAGAGACACGGCGAGAGAGGGAACACAAGCAGGGGGAGTGGGAGAGGGAGAAGCAGGCTTCCCGAGGAGCAGAGAGCCCGATGCGGGGCTCGATCCCAAGACCCTGGGATCATGACCTGAGCCAAGGCAGACACTTAACTGACTGAGCCACCCAGGCGCCCTGCTACTATTTTTGTCAGATAGCAGACATTACTTCCTTTTCCTGAAATTTGTGAACGACTGACTTTAATCATATTAAGCTAGTTCAAAACTCAATTGTAGTCTCATCCGTCCAGAAGAGCAAGGTATAGGGGTAGCGGAAAGGCACTTCAGTCTCAGAGTTACAGCTACTGCTATGGAAAAGCTGGGACTTCTCGCCGGTGTCCCTTGACATCTCCTAAATTTACTTTTTTCTATCTTGTGATTTTTCTCTGTTAGTTACATCAAGATCTTCCCAGACATTAAAAAAAAAAAAAAAGATCTTCCCAGACATATGAACTCAGTATTTTTGTCTCTCTTTCTGTCCTTACATTTAAAAAACAAAAAAACAAAATCATGGTGATCTTATCTTCATACTGGCTCTCAAATATTATATCTTCTATAAGACATTCTTCCTATTTATTTCTACTCTCTGTCTCATTACCTTTCACTTGGGCTACTACAATAAGTTTCTAACTGATGTTTTTTTCCTTCTCCAATCCATTCTGTAAAAGGTGATTGTTTTTTTTAAAGCATATTTCTGGACATGTCACACTCTTGCTCATAAACTTTTGGTGACTCCTGAAGAGTAGAGGGTAAGTACAGATAGTAATATGGCATTCAAATACTGAAACAATCTGGCCCCTACTTATCCCTATTATATAATAATTAACTGGTTATTTTCTGACTGTAGCATGGACTTTCTAGCTTTGGCTCATACCCTTCCTTTTATCTTGATTGACCATTTCCATGAAACTTTACCCATAAAATCCCTACCAAGCCCAACACAAATGTCATCTCCTTTACTGGAAGTAATCCTTTCTGTTTTGATACTCAATTAGCAATTTGTCATTTTAATTTACAACATAGCTTCTGTTCAAATGTCATCAATCTTAAGCCCTTCTCTGACTACCCTATCCCCCCTTCCCACCCTTCCACTCGCTGCCTTCTCTACTTTTATGAGATCTTATGAGCACCTAAAATCATATTTATTGCCTTGTACTTATTATTTTGAATCCCCTCACCACTAGAAAGTAAGCTCTATGTCTTTTTGTTGTTGCTTACGTCATATATCCAGCATCTGGAAGAGTGCCTGGCACATAGCAGGTGTTCAAGAGTTGTCGCCAAATGAATAAATGCTTATGTAACATTCCTCCCTACACATGTATTGCCTCTCCTGTTAGATTGCTCTTCTTCCATTCTATGTCAAGGTTAAAATGGGTCATCATTCATTCAAATGCCAAAGGGTTATCTTCAACCCCTCCCTCTCTCACAACCACCTAACATCAGATTTATTTTTTTTTAAGATTTTTTTAAAGATTTTATTTATTTATTTGACAGAGAGATAGAGAGCACAATAGACAGAGTGGCAGGCAGAGGGAGAGGGAGAAGCAGGCTCCCGGCTGAGCAGGGAGCTGGACGCGGGGCTCAATCCCAGGACCCTGGGATCATGACCTGAGCCGAAGGCAGCCGCTTAACCATCTGAGCCACCCAGGCGCCCCTGATTTTTTTTTTTAAACACTCTGGTGGCAGAGGATCAATTAAGAACAACACTTGAAGGTTTGGGAGGCTGCAATGATAATTCATGTGAAGGAAAATGCCTAACTAAACAAAGGAGGCAATGATGGAAATATGAAGAAGAAAATGGGAGATGTTTAAAAGTTCCAATTGACTGGATCCAGGACAGGGAGACTAGCTGGAATAGCTGACATTAATCAGAATGGGAAATACAAGGAGCACCTGGCTAGCTTGGTCAGTGGAGTGTACAACTCTTGATCTCGGGGTTGTAAGTTTGCGCCCCACGTTGGGTGGAGGGATCACTTAGAAATAGAATCTAAAAAAAAAGAGAGAGAGAGAATGAGAAATACAAGAGGAAGAGCAGACTGGCAAACTCTTACTTGGTATATTCTCCTGCCCTGGGGCTTTACTTTCCTATTCAGCTTAGTTCTGTGGTGTGTAACATTGACTATTCTTTCCAGTAATCTCACCTTGGTTTTTTTTTTTTTTTTAATAAAGATTATTTATTTATTTATTTGACAGAGAGAGAGACAGAGCACAAGCAGGGGGAGCGGCACGCAGAGGGAGAGGGAGAAGCAGGCCTGCCACTGAGCAGGGAGCCCGATGCGGGGCTCGATCCCAGGACCCCAAAATCACGACCTGAGCCGAAGGCAGACGCTTAACGGCTGAGCCACCCAAGTGCCCCTTGTCTTTCTGTTCTAACAGTGCTGATAACCCCTACACTTCAGATTATTCTTACTTGCCTTCTATGTGTGCTGCTGGAGAACAGCACATTTACAGATGATATCATCATAAATTTATGGTCTCTAGGGGTGCCTGGATAGCGCAGTTGGTTAAGGGTCTGACTCTTGGTTTTGGCTCAGGTCATGATCTCAGGGTCATGAGATCAAGCCCTTATCAGGGTCTGCACTCAGTGGGAAGTCTGCTTGAGACTCTCCCTCCCTCTCCCTCTGCCCCTCCCCCTGAGCTCATGTGTATGCGCTTGAGCTCGCTCTCTCTCTCTCATAAAATAAATAAATCTTTTAAAATATTGTATGGTCTCTAACCTTAGTTAAGCCCTCAGAAGGGAAGAACAACACTTCTCAGGAAACATTTGCTCCTTCTCCTACTTCCCAAAGTAGCCATTTTGGGCATTCACAATTTGCTTTAAGCCCTTAAGGGAGCTCTCCTGGTACTTTCTCTTTGTTTCCCAAAGTCACCAACTGCCTTAACTTCTTGCCTTCTCATTCACTTAACGTCACTGTACTTGTACTTGCTTCCTTCCCCCCTGCTTTAGAGGAAGGGGTGTCTCTGTTCCCATAATGTGCTACTTTCTTTCATCTCTTCAGGGACTTTGATTTTTCTCTTACTATCTTCAACCTTCCGTTCTCCATTAGTTCTTCCTTCTCAGTACTGAGACCCACTCATCTGTACTAGTTTCTGAAGACTTTCTTTCGTTCTCCTTTAGTAACTTCCATCTTCATGTACCCAACCTTTCCTCCACAGCCAAGAACCTTGAGTCTATGCTTGGCTTCTTTTCTTCACCTCCCATTCGCTTCCCAACTTACTAGAAACTGCATTTTGACTCCGTAGTTTTGTTGAAATTGCTCTATGATCTACTAATTGTTAGACTGAATGATCATTTCTTAACTTGTCTTATCCCATTCTTTCTGTCATTTTATACTGTTGCCAATTTTCATCATTTCTCCAAGTTTCACTCACTTGACAACCATGAAAGCACTCTCGAATCACTCTCTGCATTCATTCTTAGCACCATGTGCTGGTTTTTCTTCTTAAGGTGAAAGAACTAGGGGTGCCTGTGTGGCTCAGTCGGTTAAGCATTTGCCTTCAGCTCAGGTCATGATCTCAGGGTCCTGGGATTGAGCCCCACATTGGGCTCCCTGCTCAGCAGGGAGTCTGCTTCTCCCTCAGCCTCTGCCTCTGCTCCTCTCCCACTTGTGTTCTCTCTCTCAAATAAATAAATAAATAAATAAATAAATAAATAAATAAACAAACAAACATGGGTACTAGCTATTTCTTTGTTCTCCTAGTGTAAGCTCCCTGGACAGGGACATACTTTTTTGAGTACTCATATTTCCTTTAATGTGCTTGTATGTACATTGTCTGTTTTTCTGTGATCTCTCAGAGGGCAAGAGCTATTATTGTTTTTAAGATTTATTTATTTATTTATTTGAGAGAGAGAGAGAGCTAGAGAGCGTGAGCACAAGTCGGGGAGTGGTAGGCAGAGGGAGAAGCAGGCTCCCCGCTGAGCAGGGAGCCCGATTCAGGACTCGATCCCAGGACCGATAAATCAATCAATCAATCAATCAATCAATCTTAAAATAAAAGGTGAAAGAACTATTACCTTCCTGGAAAAACTCACTTTTAATTAGCTCAACACAAATAACTCAAGAGTAAACTTCTGGTTTCTCTTACTTGTGCAGGAGGAACCATAGGCTTCTATCAAAGTAAGAATAAATATAACTGAAGAAATATGTATCTGGTATGCTTCCTATCCTCACTTAATGCTAAATTTAAGAAATAATAGCTCTTGGGGTGCCTGGGTGGTTCAGTCGGTTAAGCATATGCCTTCGGCTCAGGTCATGATCTCAGGGTCCTGGGATCGAGTCCTGAATCGGGCTCCCTGCTCAGCGGGGAGCCTGCTTCTCCCTCTGCCTACCACTCCCCGACTTGTGCTCACGCTCTCTAGCTCTCTCTCTCTCTCAAATAAATAAATAAATAAATAAATAAATAAATAAATAAATCTTAAAAACAATAATAGCTCTTGCCCTCTGAGAGATCACAGAAAAACAGACAATGTACATACAAGCACATTAAAGG